AAAGGCTAGGGGGACCAGGAAGAAGAAGGTAGGCCGGTCTACGGGTCAGGGCGACCAAGGAACACCCGCATGGGTGAAACTTGGTTTAGAGTATGAGGTGTGGAGGGACCGAGTTGCTAGGGGACCTAGGTGTACGTGTATGAACTGTGGCAATCATGGCCACACGTCCCGAACGTGCCGAGGCAAGAAAGTCCTAACGAAGGTAGCCTCTCCAACGGTGGTGGGACTATCTTCCAACCCTGGCGGTGCTTCTGCGAGCACTTCGCAGGGAAACACCTCGGGCCAGTAGGAGCTTTAGCCGCTCTTACTCGCGCTGAAGTGGTAACGTTGCCTTCCCCACTTTAGGCGTTGGCCAGGGCTAGTGACCCACGTATCGCCCCGCAGACACATTCAGACCCACCGACGCTCTGTTCGAGAGATGTGTCTGAGGCCCTAGAAGAGTTAGAGACTGAGTGGTCAGGGAAGGACCCCAGAGACTCTTGGGCGATGATTAGTAGAGGTCCAAAGGGTGAACATTTTGTGGTAGAGGTTGATGTAGGTGGCCGCAAAGTGGGCGCCTTCGCAGACATAGGCTCTACACGAAACTTCATCAGTCGTGCTTGTGTGGATAGACTGTGCTTAGGGGACCAAGTGCAGCGGCTAAGCAGAACTGTAGCTTCTACGCTAGCCAACAAGCACCAAATGATTGTTAAAGACTATGTCAAGGACATAGTCTGTTCCTTCTCTTATGGAGGAGGGTAAGTGAGACATAAAATCTCATTCTTCGTCAGCGACGAACTGCCCTTCGATATGCTACTAGGCATGTACTACCTCGAGGTCACGCAACCTCAGTTTGATTGGGATAGGAAGGTGTTGATACACAAGTTGCCAAACGCTAGAACCATTAGACTGCAGAAGTATAAAGCTACCAGTCTAGTGGAGAACTATGGTTGCATGTGTGCTTCCTCTTTCTATAACTACTACAAGCAGAGTCGCGAGGAGGGCATGTATCTAGTCTTCGTCTCTAAGAAAGGGGAGGTCGTTAAAACACCCGCAGAGATAGAATCAGTCGTCGCAACATATTCATACCTTTTTGAGGAGCCCACAGGCGTGGCAGAAAGGGAGGTGGTCCATGCAATAGAGGTTGTCGCAGGGAGTAAGGTACCTAGAGGACGAATCTATAGGATGTTTCCTGCGGAGTTGGATGAGCTCCGCCGCCAGCTCAAGGAGCTCATAGAAAAGGGATGGATTCGACCTTGTACCTCCCCTTATGGTGCGTCAGTCTTATTTGTCCCAAAGAAGGGAGGTACCCTGAGGATGTGCATTGACTATAGGGGCCTCGATGCCATCACCATTAAGAATGCGGAGCCCCTACCCCGCATCGACGACCTCTTGGATAGAGTGCAGGTCGGTACTTCACCAAGATAGATCTGAAGTCCGGATACCATCAAATGGCCATTAGACCTGAGGACCAATGCAAAAACGCATTTCAGACCAGGTACGGTCTGTACGAGTTTGTGGTGATGCCCTTTGGCCTATGCAATGCACCTGGTACGTTCCAGCACGCGATGAACATGATATTTCATAATTACTTAGACAAGTTTATCGTCGTGTACCTCGACGATATTCTTATCTTTAGTAGGACTGTAGAGGAGCACGTTGAGCACTTGAAAATAGTGTTAGGTCTACTAAGACAGCACCAATACAAGGTTAACTTGGAGAAATGCGAATTCGGTCGCACCAAGATCTTGTACTTGGGTCATGAAATCTCAGCGGATGGATTGAGGCCGGATGATGCTAAGGTGGCCAGCATAGGTCCGTTTGTAAAGAACTATAGTACTATAGCTTCCCCATTAACAAATCTAACTCTACTGGATACCCCTTGGGAGTGGACTGAAGAGTGTGAGGCGGCCTTCAGGAAACTGAAGTATGCCCTAACACATTACGAGGTTCTTAAACTTCCAGATCCTGATAAGCCATTTGTAGTGACCACAGACGCCAACCAATCTGGCATAGGCGCGGTCCTTGCGCAAAAGGAGGGGCCCAAGTTGAGACCTATCGAGTACATGAGCAAAAAGATGCCATCTCAGAAACTAGCCAGGTCTACTTATGAACGTGAGCTCTATGCCCTGTACCGAGCGTTGGTCCACTGGAGACACTATCTCCTTGGCAGATTTTTCTACGTAAGATCTGACCATGAGACCTTGCGCTGGATCAAAACACAGCCGGTACTCATAGATGCACTCAAAAGATGGATACAAGTGATCGACATGTATGACTATCAACTTGATCCTATCAAAGGAAAGTACAACAAGGTGCCGGATGCACTATCTCGACGGGCAGATTACCTGGGCGCGCTAGTAACTGAATTTGGCATATCTAATGATCTGACTCGATCGTCGGTGGAAGCCTATCAGCAAGATCCAGTTATGTCAAAGATCATTCGTAAATTCCAAGCAAAGGACAAAGCGACTTTGGATGAATTTACAATGGTGGATGGCTTGCTGTTTCTTGAAAAGGCAGGGAATAAAAGATTGTGTGTGCCTAATTCAGAGTCTTTGTGTAGTTTGTTTCTAGGTGAGTGTCACGATGCAACTGGACATTTTGGTTATAAAAAGACTTCAGCTAACCTAGTGCAGAAATTTTGGTGGCCCACTATGATGTAGGATGCGAAAAAGTACGTTGAAACTTGCCAGGTTTGCCAAAGGGACAAACCTAGGACTCAGGCTCCGCTTGGGCTTATCAAGCCCTTGCCGATTCCTGAAGGTCCTGGCCAAAGTGTGTCTATGGACTTCATGGATACTCTCGTGACCAGTAAGTTTGGAAAAAGGCACATCTTCGTGATAGTGGACCGCTTTGCTAAGTATGCAAGACTTATCACAATGTCGGAAACTGCGAAAACTGACCACGTCATCAAACTGTTTCTGGATAACTGGGTCAGGGATTTTGGACTACCTACGTCGATTGTGAGTGACAGGGATGTAAGGTTTACCAGCGAACTGTGGCAGGCGACAACTGAACAGATGGGTACCAAGCTCCAAATGACGTCAGGAACCACCCCGAGTGAAACGGCCAGGCAGAACAGATGAACCGGGTAGTACAACACCTACTTCGGCATTATATTAAGCCAAGTCAGGATGACTGGGACGAGAAGTTACCTCTCGTCGCCAGCTTGTACAACAATGCAGTGCACAGTACTACTGGAATAACTCCCAACCAGCTGCATCTTGGTTGGAAGCCCATAACTGCACTTGACTTTCTGCTACCAGAAAGGCAACCCACTGCAGCAGGCCGTTGAACATATTACAAAGTCTCAGGATGCTATGATCGCATCTGAGAATAAACAAAGATGGCCCTCTAACTTTCAGGTAGGTGATAGAGTCTGGGTAAAGTCATCTAAACTAGGCCATGAGTTGGGGTTTCATGTAAACTGATGCCACAGTACTTTGGGCCCTGGGAGATCTTAGACATTGTAGGGGATCAATCGGATGGGCCTTCATATTTGATTCGCATTCCTTCACACTTGCGTACTTACCCTGTTTTCCATGCATCCAAGTTGGCACCTTGCGCTGCCACAGATCAGTTTCCCTCTAGAAGATCAATGCTGCCCCCAACGATGGACGGACACGTGGACATTGACGATATCATCGAGCACAAACTGATGCCTGTGCCCAAACCGCCAGGAAGGGGAGGACCGCCAAAGCCACAGATGCAATATCGAGTGCGGTTCAGACATCATATTACGATCCTCAAGAAAACCGGTGATTCACAAGAGAGGAATTAATGAAGACTGCTCCTCAAATTATCTCAAATTATGAAAGAAAGCTGAAAGGGAAGCAGCCTGTTATATAAGGACTTCTCAGAGGACTATCGAAGAAAAGGAGGAGGGAATGCAAGGATCTGGGTCCTCGGCAGGCCTAAGTGGCCCCTGCTACAAATGTGCCCGCCCTAAGTGAAGGCGGGCCCAACAAATCACGAGAGGCCCTTGGCTGTCAATTTTGCATTTGGGGTCCAGGCAGTTTCGTTGCGCCAGTTGGTTGAAGGAAAACACAGGCCGAATAGCGTGGAAATTCCCAGGCCTTCTAGGCCTTTCCGAAAGCACAGGCCCTGGGCGAGATTCGCAGCCTCCTACACAGACAGTTGGGAGGCCCAACCGAATGAGGCCCAGTTGCTGCACCAGAGGCGCAGCATCCGGGGGCCTACCGGAAGCTTCTGGGCCTAGGCCAGACCAGCCAGGCTGCCGAATGAGGCAGGCTCTTTCCATATAGGAAAGAGCTCGCCGCCTGGCCAGTCATTCGGGCACTGGCATGCTGGCGGCAGCGCTGCTGGAGCTGAAGCTCGTGGGCTGCTGCTAGCGCTGAGCGGCGTGATGCAGGCACGTGCGGTCGTGCAGAGAGCAGGGCACTGCTGAGGGCAGCGCCATAGCCCAGCCTCCATAGCTGGCGGGCTTGGATGTACAGTGAGGCGCAGGGGTGGTCTTCGGGTGTACAACAAAGGAAGACGCGGGGGAGAGTCAAGGGAGAGAGAGAAGGATGATGATGATGATGATGTGAGGGCACATACCTGGTATTGGCGATGGTTCTGCATGGGCGATATCTTCAAGTACTTCGGATGCTGCTGACGTCAACAGTTGCATTGTCAATTAGTAGGCTAGTAGTAGCTGTGTAGAGAGTAGGCTGGGCGCCGAGCGCCAAGTAGGATGATAGAGACTGGATACATATGTTGGTGGTGGCGAGAGCAAACTCTCATTGACGTTGGTTTTCAGAGCTACTATTCTCCATTGGTGTCATATTGGTGCAATGCTACTTTCTGAACACTGTGATACGATCTGGCCTTCAATGTGATTGTGCAATCTGATTATTGTCATCTCGCTTCTGTTCATTTTCCTTGCACTTTTGAGCTTATCAGCATTTGCTGGGATTTTAATGTTGTAGATGCTTGGATGCCAGTGAATGCACTTGTTTTCAGTTTACTCATCAAACGATAATGCTCATCTTTTTGTTCACTATGGAAAAATGCAGGCCTCAGCAGCCACCTGTCATCACTATCGTCATTAACAACGAGGGCGGTGCAATTTTCAGTTTGCTGCCAGCTAAAAACTCCCTTCCAACACATGTGTTTGACAAAGCAATGACCGCACACCACAGTGTCAGAATTGTAGACCTCTGCCGAGCTCACAGGTAAACTGCCTCTGCCTCTTTACTTGGACAACTACTTGGCGCTTACCTTTTGGCCTGTGATTTGTTCTTTGTATGCTGTTTTCTATTTTTCTTGTTTTGTTTTTCCTGAAAAGTGATTAATTTTTCAAGTCCCCTCTTTTGCTTTGAGAATCGCCTGTGAAAGCTGAGAAGAGTATGTATGGGCAAGTCATTAAATTAAGCAACATACTGCTCTCCAAAGCCGCTACCAAAATAATCAATCAAAGTTATCATTCAAGGCCTCGTTTGCCTCAAGAAAACCTTGTCTTCCCGTGACAGTTCTTTCAATGCATGTTCTTCTAGCACTGAGTGGTGTTTCAGTGCGGTGTACCTTTGAGCCTAACAATAACAAAATCCGCTGTACCTTTTTGTGAGCTCAGCATAATATTGGCCTCTCGACGTCGTACAGACACTGAGCTCGATGGGGCTCTTCTTCTAGCTATTTTATTGATTTTGTTTCAAAAGGGAACCTCTGATTTACAGATCTTACTAACAACAGAATTTAGCGAACAACGTCAAACATTGGTATGGATTGCTTTTTTTGCATTTTTTGCAGTGAACGTACCTATGGTACCAGGAGAAAAAGACGGCCCTGGGCCACCGGTTAGCGCATGTCACCAAGCGCTGGGGCTAGCGCTTCAGCGGTAGCTCCGACGCGCGGAGTTTCGCCTCACCCTTCGACGCGGGCATATGCCTGCAGCCCAACTTCCCACCACCGCGCGCTCCCGAGCTCCCAAGCCGCCATCGCCAGCAGCAGAGGAGAGCCCTTCCACATCAGGAAACAACTTCAACTTCGTGAGCGTGAAAGCCTACATCGCCAGATGTAGAGGAGCCCCCCGCCATACCTGGACGTCACGGGCCTCCAACTCGACGCTTCCGGAAGACAACGGAGGTTCCTGCACTCTCGTAGCCGCCAACGCGATGCCGTCAACGACAAGTACCAACCTCGGAGCGATGCATGCAGCCCCGTGGACAAGCTGACAGCCCGATCAGCCAGCAGCCATCACCAACGGAGGAGATCGTTCTCCACCTACCAGACGACTCCCAATGCGTCGCATGAGCCCGGTATTTCCGGACTAAACCCAAACATCGTCCTTCCTGCAAACCTCCCCCAGCCCCCCCTAACCCCCCGACTCCCCCGCCCAACAACTTCGGATAACTTCCACCCTACTCCTCTATACTGACCCACTCCCGGCGGCCCACACCCCGCCCTCAGGCACAATCAGTACACCACAGGAGCACCCTTTACCCCCCCTGGATATCCCAGCCGCAAACGCACGCACTCAAGTTGCATCCGCCCCTCACAGCTAGCCTCCCCTACCCGCCCTGATCCAATCACTAGCACACCGTCTTCCCCCCCCCCCC